CCTTCCAAAGTTTCGAAGCCGTCACGTTAAGGCCAAAAAGGTTACGAAAAAAAGTTCGTTATAGTAGCTCACTGCGACTCTATTTATGACGGAGCCACCTTGAAGGAGCTGCTTCATTTCTTTATCCTATAAGGCCATAGTTACAGAGAATGAAGCTTTTAGTCTATTTATAGCTTCATCTTCGGTGCTAAAAAACACTCTACTGACAGTGTCAAAAGAGTAGGATTTCAAGCAAATTAACAGCCATGGTAAATGGCAGTTTCAAGCAAAGGTAGTCTAAACTATTCATCGGGATAGCGGTTCAACTTCTTGTTCGAGTTCAGAAATTATTGTTTGCGGATGAACTCCTTCAAGCAATGGGCCCCTCTGCGTGAAAAAAGTCCAGATTTCCATATTTTTTTCCAATGAAATATGCTATCTGTTGTAAAAGGATACTGCTAATCCTTTGTCACACCAGTTGATGGCTTCTTCGTACAGACCCAGTTCAAAGCAAGCGCAAGCTCCTAATAATTAAAAGCAGAATGCATCTGAAAACTCAGATTTCAATAGGCCACTTTTGATATATCAAACTTCAGCATGATAGCGAGTCTTAGAGGACACAAGCAAAGAAAATGAATAAAAATGAATAAACTTTGTTTGTGTCTTCCAAGACTCGCTATAATGCTGAATTTTAATATCGAAAGTGGCCTATTAGAGATATGCACTTGAATGAAACTTAGTTCCTTTAACACTTTAGTTTCTTTGAAGCATTCATAAATATAGTTATAAGCTTCTCACCCAGTTTTTTTTTCACCCACAGGCACTTCAGAGTCCATTCTAATCTTATATTAACTTGGACTTGGCTTCCTCAAAGGATTGGCAAAGCAATGACTTAGTATATATAGGGTGCGCGCAAACAAAATTTAAATAATCAACAAACGTCAATTGTTTTCTCAGACCGTTGTTAAGATCACCCTTCTCGATATTTTCTTTTCTCTGTGGAGGTACCAATATAAGCTACAAACCTTACCCCTAGCTATAGCTTTGATGTAATGTGGTTGCAGTTCAACGGCAGCTTTTGCATCGTTCAGTGACTCGTGATAATTACCTAGCAAAAAAAGAAAATCAGTTAAATTCGAAATACAAGGATTTTTTATTCTACTGTACATGAGCTAACAAAGAACCTTACCTAGGTAAAAATAAGAAGTTGCCCTGTTGCTGTGGAGTTTACTGTTGAGTTCATCGTCTCTGCAATTCACGTTAATTCCTTCTGTATAGAACTGTATGGCGTTGGTGAATTCTCTCTTTTGATATTCCGCATTGCCTTCGTTCTTGTACACCTCAGCTATAGCTAAACAGAACAGAAAGTCACGGAAGTCATTTTTTTTCCTAAGTACAACAACAGCTTACCAAGGATCTCTTTACAGGGGCACAGAATCATCATTTCACAACTGCACAAAACGTCAACGAATTTGAGGTAGGTGCCGTGCCTTAACTGTGACCAGGAATCGTGTGGTCCTTTTGAGCCCTCACTATGCCACTAAGCATATCAGCTGGAGGTTATAACCCTGGAAGGTGCAACGTCATGCCATATTGGTCTCCTGGATAGGGGCCAGACTAAACTAAAAGCACTTTACTGGGACATTACCGGAGGGGTAATATCTATCCATGTAATCAAAATCTCATAGAAGTTCACGTGTCAGTCAGGCATGAACACAATGACTAAGCTAACTTCTGGCATACCTTCCGTCTTCTTAGCACTAACGTAACAGAACAAAACAAACCCTTATAAGCCAGGTGGCTTCTCTTCGGCTTCCTCGCCATGAGAGTTTAAATAATTAGATTTTATTTGATTTGTACAATTTATGGCGAACAAAACAAAAGATAAGAAACCTTGCTATAGCATTTATTTTTTATTTCGCTAGTGAAATTACAAATTATCTTTGAAATTTCAAGCCAAAATTAAGGAGTAATTTGTCACCCATGATATTACCCTGATTGCAATTTATACTTGTCTAAAAAAGAGCTATTCACTTCACCTCTTAAGGTATCGTTGTCGAAATCCAGTTCTTTTTCCGGAAATTGTACAACTCCACCACCTTCTGGAACTTTCTCAGTAGAATTCCTCTCCATGACCTATAAATTTTTGTAGGCCTTGATTTACATTATTATCATAATTACTGCTTTTGACTTAGTCTGCGGGTTTGTCAAGAGAGCCTGCGAACAGATTCTCTTTCGATCTTCCTAGATGAGTCGGTTAGAGCACGAAGCCTCTGCCGACGGGTGTTTCTAAAACGTTCCGTTTAGTCCATGGGTCTTAGGTCTTAGGTATTCGTTTTTTGGGTCTTCGTTTTAGAAACACACCTCTGCCGACTGCCTGAACAATTCATATTGAGCATGCTCCAAATTCAAATGTTTACCGTGCCTCTCAAGAAGATAGGAAGAAGGAGAAAAAGGACCCAGTCTCGCTTTTAAACTAACGATCGCGCGACCTCTGGAAGTTGTCATTCCAAAACAGTGCAAATGAGCTTGAAAATATTATTCTATTTTCTATTATTAATCTAGGAAAACCATTAGAATATATTGGCAAATAAATTTCAAATAGTACCTGATCGATCAGTCAATTAATGGCTCAGACAATTTTAAGGGTGCTCATCCCCCAGGGGCATTTGTCGAATATTTCTTTGGTTGTTTTTGAAAATGCCTCACGGTGGGACTTAAAAAGTGTCCAAATGCTCTACCCTGGGATAACATCAAAATTGCATTTTCCAGTAAATAAGTTGCAAATGCCGTATTAAAGGAACCTGTAATAATCTGATCAAAACGCTTGAAGCACTCTTCGTAAATCGTTCCTAGCCGCTAGTAATATTCATTTCAAAAAGGATCACATCCATCTGATCAATTTCAATGACAGAACTATAAACTAGAATTTTAATAACACCTTTCTTCTTTTCGAAGGTATTTAAAATAGCGAATGATAAATAAACAACCGACGAGCTTAACATGAGTATTTTCTCATCACGAAGGAACCGTTCAGTCAACGTGTTAACCGTCGCATTGATCACACAAAACATGAAGTTTATATTAGCTTTCAAATATTTCGCAGAGTTTTTGTGGGCCTTTCTGTCTCAAACATTCGCTCACAGATGAAGTGTCTTTCCCTTATAAATTCTTCAAACGATGCAATGATTATTTTTCCCTCCAAGGTTTTCAGAAAAGTGTGGTGTATGAAAACTGTACCCCCCTAAAATAATTTCATATGAAAATTGTACCCCCCCCTTGGCGATTCTCCGCACCTTTCCTAGACTAAGTTTTAAGACGACTCGATTTTCTCTCTTTCTTTGGACATCTACTTCCTATTAAAGCTAGATGGGGTTCTGGTAGTAATAGTTGATAGGGTCCTGGGACAAGCTTGGTTACGTAGCATTCAGTATGGCGGCTACCAAATCAAGTAAAGATGCACGTCAAGTGGGGCTCAGCTGGCATGGCAAACGGTGTGAAGTCCGAGAAAAGTCAACGAAGGGAAAGTATTTTAGATCTTCACTCCAGTGTCTTGATAATAATGAAATTTGTTATTGCTGGAGTCTAATCTGCATAGGTCAAAGCAAGGGACGCGGACGAATTGTACAGTTCGACGTCTGAGAGCAGTGCAAGAACATCTGATGCATGAATATGGATACTTACATTTGGAAGAAGCCTACATTCTATATTCTTCATTCAGTGGCGAAGGCGAGGGCGTGATCTCTGATCATAAATACAGTGGGCACAATAATTCTGTGCGGGTAGAATTTTTAGCCGACAAAGAGTCGTCAGCGCGACTTTTTGGTTTACTAATGAAGAAAAAAGTGGGGTTTTTTTTGTTTGTTCAATTATGATATGTTTTAACAACTACAACATATAATGTCAATCCTGTGTCTTAAAATTTCGACCTCCCTCACACTTTGTACATTTTCAAAACTGATCCCCCAAAATCAACCCTCCCCCCCCGCCCACCTGAGATATAATAAACGATCGGTCCGTAACAACACAAAATGGCTGCCGATTCGATTTAACGCAGTGATCTTGACAAAATTATCGATTCAATGTTCAGCAAACTGTGACAGAGCGATTGACCCATTTTTACAAAAACAAGAAAATGCACCTCGTTTTCAGATGGATTTGTTTTGAATGAATGACACTTTATTTCAACAGTGACACTGTAAGCTCATATTAAGAGCTTAGCCGATTTTACCCGGGTGAACGGATCTACGATCCAGTAAATGTTACGTTAGGTGCTCATAAGGATAAAATGATTGATTTTTGAATGAACATTTTCAAGGAATAATTTCTGTGCTGGTCAATTCTTCTGCGTATGCTAATTCATAATATTAATTTAAAATACGATCATGAGACTAAGTTGCATTTTATGGCTGATCAGTCATTCACTGAAAGGATTTCCACCCCATTTGCACACTGAATGAGTCGTCACCTGTTACCTCTGACGATATTTTTCAGCACCTTCAGGATAATTTCAAAAAAAAAGCCAAACTAAGTGTATCAAACGTTTTGCTCGCCGCTCAATAAAAGCGATGAAATAAGGAGAGAACTCTCGTCGGGATGGACAAAAGGTGGCTGCGGCCGAGTCGCACGATGGAGGTTTCACTTACAGTTCTATTCTAGGATTATTTTCGGATTTTGAGTTTTATGTAGCCGCTTCAAAGGTAAATGTTTTTTTAAAATTGTAGCCTTTGGCAGAATTTAGGCGATTAAGCTTGATCACGGCATTTTCGCTGTCCAGTAGCTCGCCTATCATATGAAGCCTTTAGGTTCGAAGACAGCGACTTGAGGGAAGGCGTTAAGTTTCGTAGTGTGTCTGGTCTACTCTTAACGGTAGTTAGAACAAACAACATACCTCTTACACAAGATGAATTCGTGGCCAATCCTGAAACCAATTGCAACAGCGAACATTAATTATCAAGAAACCGTTTAGTCGAAAACAGGCTGGCTCAAGACAACGTGGGAGCCATTCCTCGAAGAAATGGTGATGTTCGCTGTAGAGGAAGACAAGGAGGGAGGAAAAAAGTACAAAATTGAAATTATACCGTAATTTCAAAACTGATATGCGTGCTACCCTTGTCACAACTAAGTGAAATTATATTGAACAAGTGAAATTCCTCAAATGTGTACATAGCGACACGAAACTGAAAGTATTTGACGGGTTTTGTCCCTTGCGTATTCAACAGAAGCCGGAAGTAAGACCACAGGTACCCCAAGCTCACGAGTGGGAATCGCTGTTGCGTAACAAAGAATATTATGAGGGTTTGAAAAGGGATTTCAGAGCGATAGTATTTAGGGGTCAAAAATAGCAACAGAAATACATCAGACTGACTTCTCACCTTGGTTTATGTATGGTATGTTCTTAGCATTTTTGGCCGTTTTAGGGAGCGATTCCACTCAGTTTAGTCCTGCCGTTGTTCCCTCTATACACATTTCGTGATCTTCGGGTACCTGTGGTAAAACTACGAATAGAATAGATTAGCTATTGCAATACTGTACGTACTTGTATGGTCAGGTCATGCAAATAAAGCTCATTGTTGATGTCGTTGTTGTTGTTGTTGTTGTTGTTGATGTGTCGGAGTTAAAATCGTCGTAGTGATTTCTTTGCTCGAGACAACGTCCCATCCACTACTGGGAGGAATTCAATGTCCAGTGGGGTACTTCCTTACATACGCCACATAGGTATGTGCCGCTCCAAAGGGTATCGCTTTTGCGCCGTTTTGGTCTGAAAACGGGTACAGACTTTGCCCATTTTGGCCTGGAATCGGATATGGTTTTCGAGGGAACCAAGAGAGGGAATAAAAGTATTTGTCGTTTCAATTCCATATGAGTAAGAAAGAAAGCGAAATATGCGAATTCGAAATGGATTTTAAGAAATCGATTTTGTTCGCGTTTCAATCTATGAAATGATGAAATAATTTCTTAGAGGCAAGGTCTGAAACGGGTGATAAAAATCACACCTTTTGGTCTGAAATAGAGTCAGGATTTGGAGAACCGGGCGGCACACCCCCACAAAGAAATCCCAACAGTACTCCCCCGAGATTCAATGGTGTTGAACAAGAAAACGAGACGAGCGTCGTTTTCGTCTTCGTCAAGACTAAGCCGGAATCAAGACAAAGACTACCTGAAAGAGTTCTGAAGCATTATTGTCTCGGTAATTTTTTAGGCCAGTGACCTCGCTAATGCCCTGGAATTCTTCATTTGCCATTCAAAAAGTAAATGCGATTAATATTTTCAGTCAATCCCCCGGGCTACGTGAGAAGGGAAAACATCGGGTTGTATAATAAACGGGTTATCACAGAATTGCAAAATGTATCTGAGGAAGTTATATATCTTTTTTAACTGTTTGCTCTGCTATGCCTGAGGAAAATAGGGAGATTACTGAACAAAATTTTATACGAGGAGGTTCCCCCAACCCTTTTATATACCATTTTTGACAAACAAATGGTACCCCTTTCACATACCGAGTATAAAACTTTACATCTCTTTTAACTGCGGTAAATGCACTGTCTTTAAAATATGAATAAATCACAAAACCAGGAAATTTTTACAACTTTTTCACAGCCACAAAATCATTCTGTTAGCCCTTTTAGGTCTGTTTACAGATAGAAATGGCAGATTTCCTAACCCTTTTATCTACTTAAACTAGTGAAATCCCTACACCCTCATATACTAAGGTGTGAAAAAGGTACCGGTTTTGGGCGGAGCCCCCCCCCCCCCTCTTTCCGTATAGGCCATTATGGGGAGTTCCCCCGGGTTCTGCCATCTGTTTTGACAACACCAATTATGGATATTGTATCTGTTAAATTAAATCAGCCAGTTACAACGTATTCTTGACCCTGCAAAAAGACACGAACCTAACCGAGGCGGGACAAGACAAGATATACAATGGTGTACAACAATTTTGTAGCAATGATCGACACTTGGCGATGCAGTCATCACACGGTAATTAATGAATACGTCTTTTTAATTTATCTATTGAGAATGAAGACTTTACAGAATTAAGGGCATACACAGCCCAACACGTTGATTATGGCTCGATATCAAAAGCAGTTCAACCGCAGGTCATATGTTATCACGACAAACGTTAATCCTTTAAACCCTAAGATCACAATTTGAAATCTCATTTGTTGTCCCTATTCATTTCCTGTAGAAGTAGTGGGGAGAAGTTGACAAAATATCAAGCAAATTCATCTTGTGTGATCATGTCCGTAATTCTCATGACCACTCTGTTTTACAAAGCATTGATATCACAAGGAGAAATTTGATGCTGATCACTCTTAGGGCTTAAAGGGTTAATAGAGACCTTTAGATTCAAGGACGAGGACGACTACGAGTACGAGATTTGACTTCAAGTTTTTTCGCGTATTCTCAAAATATATACTCCCCGGAAAGATTTATTAGGCTTTTACCGCCTAATATCCAGCAGGGTCATCTCGTCGCAAACCTCGTATTCACTGAGGTCAGGACCATCATGCCATGTGTTACCCGGCCGAACTGACCGGTTCTCAGAATTCGTGTCAGTTAAATATTCGCCGTATATCGATTGTGTGTAATAATGTGTATGCGATTTCTACCATATTACTACTTTATTATATTTATGTTTTTATATTTATATATTTATATGTATAATTGTCTGTTTGTAAGTGCTTTGCCTGACCCTACCTGTAATTCAGAGAAATCTGCGAATGGTGGAAATAAACAAATATTATTATTATTGTTATTATTTTAAAGCTTCATTTTACCATTTTTCACTAGACAAGTTAGCACTGTTACCTTTAGTGAAGGAGGTTACACCCTCTCCCGTTTTCATGCCAAAATGACGCTGGTTCACGCGCAAGCCCTACTTAGTACTGAGAAAATCATCTACTCGTTGTCTCGCACTCGTCTTAGAATCTAAAGGTCTCTAATTACTAGTAAGACGAAACAAGAATATTCCAGAATTTTCTACATCCAAAATATTGTCATGTAAGGAGGTGCCTTAGTTTTGCACAGTATCAGACTGTCCAGAAAAAATAATGAGATCTCAACATTAGCTCTTACAAACTACTAATTAAAAGGACTGGGGAAAACACACATTTACTTAACAGATATAGTACCAAAATGTTTGTATTTTACAATGGGCGCACAGTTAAAAGCTTAGTTATCGTGGTAACCTGCCTGGTAATCCCATTCTCTTTATGGACTTCACTTAGCTCTTGATCCACTTTCCCCGTATACAGAAGGTATGAAAAAGCACTCTTATGCATGGGGAGTCAACTTCACAAGTCACTTTCATTACATGAAAGCTGTTCCAGGAAGCACAGTAAACATGCCCAGTGAGAGGCGAAGTCGTCATTGAACTTCAAATATCAGGCCCTAGTAGTTCAAACGTTAGATAGCGCTATCGACCGGATAAACCACTATCCAGTGGATAAGTATTAAGCAGACCGAGTGCGTTATCCACCGAATTTGTCCATTGAATATAGGGTTATCCCTCCTTTGAACAACTGGGGTGTGTTTACATGGAAAACGTCTAGTGGCTCCCCTGACATTCTAGAGTGACATCATCTCCAATGAGAACAAACGGTGCCCAGTACTTCACGTCGCTGAACTCGTCCGATTCTCTCATGAACTTCATGGCTTGATTCAGAGATTTACTTGCACTCTCTCCTTCCGCTAAATGCTGATAGAAATATTTCATGAACTCCAGTGTGGCCTTGTCGTCAATGGCCCAAAGTGACACCAGAACGGAACGAGCACCAGCTCCAAGAAAAGCTCTTGCAATGCCGACCACACCCTCTGCCTTGATCTCCCCACGGCCACTGTGACAACAACTTAGAACAACTAGTCTTGCTCGCAGCCTGACGTTCAACACATCGCTCATTGTTAGAAGAAAGTCTTCATCACTGGGCTTCTCAGATGCTCGTGTAGGATTTGGTGACAGCGCAATCTCTCCTGTTTCCATTCTACCATGAGCGGCGATGTGAACTAGTGCAACATTGGAGAGCTGTTTAAGCACCTCATCCTTCGTCGCCTCTGTACCAATGAGGGGTGTAGTATGAAGAATCTCAGCAATCAACTCCACTTCCCTCCTTGCACACGGGAGTTGCTTTAGTTTAACTTCCTCTACCCAAGGATCTCCTACGAGCAGAGCACCGTTCTTTGCGTGGTAATCTGCTGGACAATCCAAGATTATTTTCAAACTGAGCAGAGAGGGAATAAAACGAATTCGAAATGATTCACTGAGGTATCTCGAATTCGGGTCCATGAATGCAGCATAGGGGGCCAACCATAAGGGACCTTCAGGCACTACGATAAGCTCATCGCCATGAATTAAATCAATGATCGGACTTATAGTCAACTCATACAATGTTCTGAAAGGATTATCCTGATTGAGCAATGCAGCTGGACGCCTCTGAACACACCCTTCACTTTCCTCTTCGTTGTTTCGTAACTTGTCCAGTGACCGATCCTCGCACTGTGCGCCGTCTCTCACGCCAATCTTCTCACGAGCAACTTCTAGCATCCATTGTACATCGTATTCAATCGATAGTTTCCTTAGACAAACACTCTCTTTTTGCAACACCCAATGGCAATTGAGGTGGCTGTATGTGGCTGTAAAAACTACAACTGATGAAATGCAGCTCAGTATGTCATCTTCTGACATTTCCTGCGTTGTGCGCCTACCATTAGCCGTTTTCAAGCCATAATTCGATTCCATAAGGTCTTTTAAGGCTTGTGCGCGTCCTTTTTCAGCAGCAACTAACCCCTCCGTGATCTTGTCTTGATTAATCAGAACTCCCCACAAATCCGCATAAACCATTTTATGAACGTCTCTCAGGCCAATTTTCCACTCATCATTTAGCAGACGCGTTCTCATATCATTAAGGATTCTTACGCTGGATTCAAAACAATGCAGAGCCTTGCAAAGAGAATTCATTGACTCAAAGACACGTCCGACATGATAATTAGCGATTGCTTGTCCTATTTCATCTCCAACCTCAATGGCAATTTTCCTCTGACATTCAACATACTGTAAAGCCCTTTCGCAATCACCTAGTAAGAGGTATGTGATGCCAATGTTCCCATGCGTGTGTCCCTCGCAAGCTTTATCTTCTACTTCCTTAGCAACTTCAAGACAAAGCTTGTGATATTCAAGGGCTTTTTCTAAGTCTCCAAGATCACCATAAGCGAGTCCAAGATTGCCATAAGCCCGTCCCTCCCCAGGCCTGTCTCCCACTTTTTTGCATATTTCAAGATTCTTGTTGTGGTTTTCGATTGCCTTTTCGAAATCATTCATATGGCGGTAAACAATACCGAGGTTGGCGTAGACTCCTCTTTCCAAAGTCATTGCTTTAACTTCTTTAGCAATTTTTAAATTCAGTTCGTAGTAGTGTTTAGCTTTTTGCAGGTTTCCAATACTTCTGTAATCGTTCCCAAGATTACAATAAACTCGTCCCTCCCCCTTTTTGTCTCTCCGTTCTTTGACAATTTCTAGCTGGCGCTCGTGGTTTTCAATTGCTTCTCTCAAGAATCCAGACTTGTAATAAACATTACCAAGACTGTTATATGCGAATCCTTCTCCTTCCCTGTCTCCTGATTCTTTTACAATGTTTAATAGTTGGGTATGGAAGACCAAGGCTTCCTTAAAGTTACCTAGGTGGAGACATGTATTTCCAAGATTACAATACGAATTTCTTTCGAGTATCTTGTCACCAAGATCTTGAGCTATTTGTAACTGGAGTTCAAAGAACTCCATAGCGGCTTTGAAATGACCGAGATAGTCATGTGCCAGGCCAAGACCCTCAAGGGCAGTTGCTTCTCGAGTTTTTTCTCCAATCTCTTTGGCAATTTCTAGACACAGTTCAAAGTCTTTTATTGCAGCCTTAAAATTTCCGAGCTTCAAGTGCGTGACACCGATACTCGCCAACGCCCGTCCTTCTCCAGGTCTGTCGCCATTTTCTTTTGCAAAGAGGAGATGCTGTTTGAACCATTCCATACTTTTCTTTGAATCACCCAGATCGAGGTATGCATTTCCGATATCACTGTATGCCTTACCTTGGCTTGTCTTGTCCCCTAATTGAGCCAGACTACGTTGTCGGTAGGCCACAGCTCTTTCAAAGTCACGAGTTTTAAGACAGGCGTTGCTGAGAATTAAACATACGATTCCTTCCTCAGATCTTTCTGCTGATAACTTACTATCATTCAGATAGAGTTCACAAAATTTTATTGCTCGCTCAGAATCCTTGCTATGGTAACAAGCGGCTGCAAGTTGGAAATATGCGTTGCGTTCTGCAGTTCTGTCTCCCATTTCTTTAGAAGCTTTAAGACGCAGTTCTTGGTAATGAATGTCCCATTTGTAATCTCCAGTTTTTGAATAAGTTTCACTAAGAATTTTATACATGTTTGCCTTTTTAGCAACATCTCCCATTTCCTCGATAATTTGTAAACCAATTTGATAGTTGTCTATGGCCTTCTTGAAATTTTTAAGTTTCAAATGCGCATCACCAAGACACGTATGAATGTGAACTTTAAAATCCTTATCGTCTGACTCTTCCATACAATTCATGGAGAGTTCATAGAATTCTATAGCTTTCCTATAATCTTCCATGTCGAAATAGCAGCGAGCAAGATTTGCATATGCCACTCCTTCTGGAATTCTTTCTCCAAGGTTTTTAGCAGTTTTAAGACACGACTTCAACAAACGCACGGCCTCCTGGTAATGTCCGGATTCATACTTAGCGCTTGCTTCGATGTGAAAAAGTTGATACATTTCCTCGCATTCCTCTCGTTCCACGTAAAGCACCAGATCTACAGAAAAAGAGAATATATTAATTTTTACCTCAAAGTAAATTAAGAGCGACGGTCAGGAAAAATCGAGCAAAATCTTGATTTCGTGGCAAGAGTTGAAAAATCGATTTCTTTCATTTTTTTTGTCGATAGATAGCCAAGCCAATTCCCAAGTATGTTTAGGATGAACGTCTAAATGTGTGATTTAACTAGGATGAAGAAATTTTGTAGTTATATCACACGTTAAATATTGCCGTCGAAAATGAGTAATAGACTTTTTGTTATCGTGAAAACCTGTTCCTCATTTTGGAATTATTTCAGTTCCACGAGTCTCGCTATTTTCCTGAAAGCATCTTTTAGTGAAAGAAAAAGAGTTGTTCTGTTGACGGGAAGTGTCCAAATTTCTCCGTGCAGCTTTGTTTTCGAACGCGAGGAAAGTTGAAGTTAGCGAATTCCAGGTTAAAAATTACGCAATTTTGAGACTCCGACCTCAAAAAGCAATATTCTAATTTTTCTCCCAAATAAAACCGTGACGGATAAAAGGCTTTTGGCAGGAACAATCGATATCGCGTTTTTTTTTTTTTTACCTAAAAGCTATCTATGGACAAAACAAAAAATGAAAGAAAAGTATTTTTCAACACCCAATGCTTGATATTTCCTGACAGTCGCTCTTAAGTGTTCGTTCAGCATGACAAGAAATTTATGGCGGTCGATGAAAAGCTAGAGAGAATGATCTATGTGAAATGTTAACAGTTGCAACATTTGTCGCCATGGTAACCTGCGTCGCAGACGTAATTTAACCGCGGTTAGTAACGTCTTAGCCTGGGAGCGGGCTCGACATTGGGGGAACAAAAGAGAAAAAAAATCGGAGGGCGAAAAAAGAAATCGACGAGTGAAACGACCCATCTTCGGAAGTATGTGCATGCGAAATCTCACGGCTTGATAAAGTAACCGGAAAAATGGAGTGAAAGAAGTAATTTATATAAAAAATAGACCGTAATTTTTTTAATCTAAATGTTTTTCTCACTCAAACTTTTCATAGAAAGACCATAAACACTGTGGCTTGGCACATGACCGTCGAACGCGGGTCGCAAACGTTCGCTGCAATTTTAGTCGCCAAAATGTTTTCTACTCGCCTTGGCGACCAAAAAGGTTGTACCTTGGTGCGCTGCCTAAGATGTGAAGAACCGGTTACAATGGCTTGTAGGGAAAAAACCCTTTCCAGAATCCAAAACACCTTCCATAATGCAAACATCTCTCGCCATTCAATTTCTGGGAAGGTTTTTTGGATTGTTGGGCGTGCTTTAGATTCTGGGAAGTGTTTTGACCTACGAAACACCGTAACTACGCCTGGCGTGGTCAGAAGGGTTTGCATGAAGACCGGCAATATGTACAGTCTTTAATTTACTTTCCTAGTCTTGATAACTACCGCTGCTTGACTGAATGAACCTTTAACTAACCTTCTACTAAAGCCCAGCGCTCATAAGCGGCAGTTTACTGTTTACATATTATAAACATATTTTGTTTCATTAGGTAAAGTAGAAATATAACGAGAAAACGTACACAAATCTTACCCATTTGTTTATATAATGCTGCCGCCCTGTTCAAGTACAGCTTTGAATTTAGCTCGTCATCCTTGCATTTCACTTTAATTCCTTCCGTGTAGAAATACACAGCGTTGTGGAATTCTCCTTTCTTAAATTCTTTGTATCCTTCATCAAAGTACACCTCAGCTATAGCTGAAATAAAAAAAAGTTTGCATACTCGAGCCGTTATTGACGGGGCCAAAATACTGGCCCATGTTTTACTAAAAAGCTTCGTAAGTTAATATTTTTCGTAAGTTTTAACAATCGTTGGACGAGGTTGAGCAAAATGCCTTGATTTGTTAGTGGCGAGCAGATCAATTATTTGCCGAGGCCGAACGCTGCGGCAAATAATTAATCTGCGAGTTACTGACGCACGATAATTTGCGATAACCTAGTTCGATAATTGTTTTATCATTCGGTGTTTGTTTTTTAATGAATATCTTCCATTTTGCGCACCATTTTCACACAAGAGCGATTGCAAGAGCGGGTTTCTTTACGCATGAACAGAATTATTATAATATTTACAGCCAAACACAGTTGGGCGACATTGTGCATGAGCAGACCATTATTTGTAAGCAGTTATTTGCGGGTCTAGTGCTAGGCTCTCGGCCAATGAAAAACTCACGTAACAAATACTCGCGAAAAGGGGTCACCCTACGAGACCCTACGACCCAATGTTTCCACATACGTCAAAAGTGTCTCAAATGGTTTTTTCTATGCTTTTCAGACCTGTTTGGTTCATTTGGAGCTACCCTCAAAACTATTTATCTATTTGGATGTCTTTACGAGACTATGGTCGTCTCCAAAGTTTTAGGCCCCTTTTACGTCTTATTCAAAACCAAGAGAGAATAATTAATGAGATCTCTTGTCGAAACTGTTAGCTACCCTGATATGTCTGGTAGAACGTTTGAGGGCATGGAGTAGGCATACTTTCATTTAAAAGATTCTAGAGGACATTTTGTATCTATACCGAAACTTTCAGGTGACCTTTAGTCATAAAAATGTGAAAAAACCACCCTCCTTAAATCTTATAAATCTGCTGATATCTTAGACGAATGGGAACGCTTATCATTAGGGAGCTTAAGCAGCGACGTTTTTGAGCGACGCACGTCAACCGGAAGTGAGGTATTTTCCCTCTTAACATGCCTTGATGATATAAAATTTGTATTCCTTAGCTTCTTTACTGTTATAGAGGCGATTTGACTGAAAATTTGCGCGAAACCACCGTCAAAATTTGAAAAAAGGCCACTTCCGGTTGACGTGCGTCGCTCAAAAACGTTGCTGCTTAAGCTCCCTATTCAGGCTTATCAGAAAAAAAGTCATTGGGTGACCCCGAGAGAAAAAGAGTAAATGTGGAATGAAAACAGTCTAGTAATAATTATCTACTCGAAACTGATTCGTTCATAAAGATAATTTGAATGAAACACGTGATAACGAAGCCTTCTCTACAGCCGTTCTTTGTTTCGTCACGCAACGCTTCTCCCACACTGAACAGCGAAACTATTAGCAAGTGCTACGCAAGTGCGCTAGCAAGTGATATGGTGAATTTCATTCCTAAGGTTAATTGATATTTTACAACGCTTGGGATCTGAATAGGAAGAAATCGTTCCTTACCTCGTAGAGTAGCATCATCAAAGTCCAGTTTTTCTTCCGCGGGTGATATGACGTCACTCGGGGCAGTTTCGACTTGCCTCGAAGCCATGAGGCCAAAGATTTCGCGGATAGTCTTCAACTAGATTCTGTCAATGGCTAGTTACGTTGAATTATTGAAATGTTAAAGTTAAACTTGAACAATAATATTTCTAAACGATTATTCTACGAAAATATTTTGATAAGGAGGGAACATAACAACGTGAATGAAAAAAAGAAACAGAAAAAGCTCCGACAAATTTCGAAAATAGGCTTCGCGGACGATCGCATTACTATTTCAAGAAGGTTTGACAACGTTAGTCCTGCAGTGATGCCAAACAAACCTAACAAAAAGTGTGCTGCACGTTCATAGTTTTCTCGTTTCCGTCGTCGTTGGGGTTGCACTGAGCTCGTTAGTAGCGTTCTGGACATCAGTCTCATATGCGACGATTTCGCTCGAAAAAAACTGACGATTTACAGTGTAACGGAAAACGCGCGGCGAAATCGACGTCTGCAGGTACTCATAAAGAGGCTCGGTAATAAAGTATATGGAAAAGAATTTCGATATGCGAAACCTCGTTCTCCCGAACATATTCTGCCTGTCCCTTGCCCCTTCCCAACGAGGTTTCGCTATAAACGCTACAGTAAACAAGATCCTTATTCTTACCTTTAACTGGCAAAATCGGACTTCAACAAAACTTCTTGAAGTAGGGAGATACAATTTAACAGTTCAGGAGCTGTTAAAGTAAACCTAACCAACTGATCCAAGTTTACGGATCAACACACACTGAATATTGAGTCATGGGCAACGCCTTTAAATAATTAACACAGGCGGTGATTAAGGGAGTTCTTTTTTTTTCCCAGAATTGTCAATGTCTCGTTAATTCTTACCAGTAGCATTGACGATACATGTGAAGTTTAACCAATAATAGAATAGTATTTAGATTGCATGTATATTGATACTAGGTCAATAGGACTCCTCATCATGTAAGTTCTGTTTTCCCAATGTGAGTCATGCGATTCTCTAGAGAACTGCTTCAATTTCGTTTTTTTCCCTTGCATATGTAAGCATAATTTATTAAAAAAATCAAGGGGTAAAATTCCCCTAAGATTTCATTGGGAAAACAAAACATACAAGCTAAAGCTAAAGCTATAGTTTGTTTTAAAGATAACGTCACAAATCAGTATTTGATCACCTCATCGAATTGTTGGTTATGTTACTACCGGAAGACCTTATCGTTATCGAAGTCAATTACTATTTTCGTTTCATTTCTGTTTCCAATCTAAAAGGGTTTTAGCCCTTAGTTATTATGTCAGAAATTGAACATTGGTCAGTCATGCTAGTAAGTGCCTAAACTTTCCCTTTCAACTACCTTCATTTGACATTCACGTCCCAGATGCTGGAAAGGAGGAAAACGCTGTCCACTGAAAAAATTCCTATCAAGTGGATAACGCAATGTTTCTCTAATATTTATCGCTGGATGGAATTCTGGAAGTTTTCTTTTTTAAACATTTAAATTCAGTGTTTTTGTTTTTCCAAACATTAGCATTCTGAATTTTGGCTTTTCCAATTAACCTTTTAAACCCTAAGATCAAAATTTGAATTCTCATTTGTTGCCCCTATTCATTACCTATAGAAGTAGTGGGGAGAAATTGAGAAAAAAATCAAGCAAATTCATCTTGTGTGATCATCATGTCCGTAATTTCCATGACCACTCTGTTTGCATTGATATTATAATGAGAAATTTCATGCTGATCACTCTTAGGGCTTAAAGGGTTAAAGAATGGAATTCAATGTTTTGGCTCTTCCAAACAACGGAGTTCAGCATTTTGGCTTTTTAAACACTGGAATTCAGTGTTTTGCCTTTCCAACAAGTTGTGGGTATTGTTTTTTTTTTTTAACATGGGGAGTTTTATACTTTGGCTTTTCCAAACATTGGAATTCAGTGTTTTTGCTTTTCCAAACCTTGGAATTTTGGATTTTGGCTTTTCCAGACATTGGAATTCAGTGTTTTGCCTTTCGCAAACATTCGAGTTCAAGAATTTTGCTTTTCCTAACATTGGATTTCAGTGTTTTGCCATATCCAAACATATCAATTCTGGATTTTGGCGTTTTCAACATTGGAATTCACTGTTTTGGCTGTTCCAAACATTGGAGTTCTATATTTTAGCCTTTCCAAACATTGCAATTCAGTGCTTTTGATCATACGAACACTAGAATTTTGTGCTTTTACTTTTGCAAACATTGGAATTCTGAATTTTGCCTTTTCCATACAATGTGATTCAGTGTTTTATATCTCGTCCAAACATTGGACTTTCCGCTTTTGGTCAGTTTTTCCAGACATCAGAATTCAATGGTTTTCTTTTTCCAAACATTATATGGAATTCTGGATTTTGGCTTTTAAAAAAAATTGAAATTCAGTGTTCTGCATTTTGCAAACATTGGAATTCAAGAATTTTACTTTTCGAAAAATTGCACTTCAGTGTTTTCGCTTATCCAAACATTGGAATTCTCGATTTTGGCTTTTTCAACATTAGAATTCAGTGTTTTGGCTTTTCCAAACATAGGAATTGTGAATTTTGGTTTTTCGAAACATTGGAATTATGGATTTTGGCGTTTTCAACATTGGAATTCAGTGTGTTGGTTTTTCCAAACACCGCATGTCTGTAAAAAAATGTAAATTGTTAAATGTTTGGTTAACCAATAATACATCAGGACTTGAAAACAATATCGCAAACATCCTAAAACTGTTTAAGTAACTTACCGTTAACAAAGCTACAACCTTCAAGCAATGACAAAACACAGCACCACTCCAAAGTCCGAACGCATCACGGGTACATTTGAAGAGTTAAATAATTAATCAGGGGGTTCCCCTTAAAGGCCAAAAATAGGTACTACCGGTATTTCTTTATCTGCCATGACCTATTATTCATGGATTCTGTCAACGTCTGTTGAATCATGAGAATTGGGCTGAGTATAATATGAAAAATTATGGACATCGAGGAGGTTGTTGTTGGCTTTTCAATCATTATTCATAGAACATTTTTCAAAATACAGTAAAACCCCGGGAACTTACCTTGCGAGTAGCAGGGTAAGGGAACTCGAACTCTGAACGAAAAAGTTAGCAGGTTTCCTGGGGTTCGAGTTAACGGGGTTGTACTGTATTTCCTACCTCAAAACATGTTTACGTTTTCGAAATATTTTGCAGTATATTAGGGGAAGTTAAAGTTTATCCTAGCAGGTAATCTTCATATAGCAGATGACATCAAGGGGTATTTTTGTTTGAGGCAGTGGTTTGGCTATGCCGGCTTCGCATAACGTGTGAGGACTTCCACCATTTTCTTAAACTCTGTACTGCATCAAAGCGCTATAAGCTATACCGTCACTCTCTTCATGTTGATATTAATACAGTTTATTTGTTGTATTAGTATCGGCAAAAATCTTCCAAATATATGGTCAACAATACCTGGATAAGAAGAATTAACTGAGGGTTTAAAGAAATCGAAAACGGAGAAATATTCGAAGTGAATAAGAATAGACTGTTCACAGTATGCTATTTTTCCGTAAGATCGTCGACATCGAGCGCTTTGCGTTACGGGCGGCCATCTTGGATGAGTGTTAAATCTACCTAGGGGGCGGGGGACGGTTTGGAAGGAGGCGAGGAAAAAAAATTTTTTCGCCTTCTTTCCCTCACCGCTTATATACCCCGACGCCCGCCCCCTCGGTACATATGAAACCAAGATGGCCGCCCTTACTGGTAAGCGCTCGATCCTGTCGATCTTAAGAAAAAATACGGGACAGTTAACAGTCTAGAAAACTAAATACAACAACAACAACAATAGTATCTGTATTACAGAGGCGGCAGTGTTCTAGATGTGGCTATCACAGAATTAAGAACTTTGAAAGTGACAGAACTTTCATAATAGGGAGATTTCCATGTCATGGCGTGCCCTAAGAGGAGTTTCGCTGACCATAGATTACAAAACGCTTAATATGGAAAACGCGTCAAGTACTACTAAAAATATGATTTAACGAAAAGCACACCATCTACGAATACAACTAATACAGGCCTTAAAATAACAAACAAGTGTCAGAGCTCTGCCACCGGTTTTTGCAAACACTATGGTTATTGTATTTGTTAACTAAATCGGCCAATACAATTATTATTCTTGATTCTGCAAAAAGCTACGAATCTTACTGCAGCGGGACAAGACAAAGATACAATAAATACGGCACTATACAGTCCGGAATATCCCTAAATTATGGCGACAGGGCAAACTGGTCACGCGACACTGTTCAACCAATGAGAAGGCGCGCTTTTGTTTAGCAAAACATCGACCAAGTGCTCAAAAATTGCTCACAATGGCGGACGGAGGCGGACAGAGCATTGTTATTTCGTTTTCCTTTTAACAGACGCTAACAGTACTCGTCTAGGTTTCCTTGTCTAGAGGTTTCACATTATTTCAAAGAAAACATTTGATGTAAGAGAATAAGAGTATTATTCATTGCAAGGAATCGTTGGGGTGTTCGAATATTCCAGACCGATCGCAGAGGTCGTGGCTTCAGTAGCATGTATGGCTTGCATGATTTTTGATAGAAGCAAACTGGTCCCGGGTAAAAATTGGCCGTAGAGAGAGTGAGTGTATGAAAATTTCTTGAAATCGTGCAAAACAGGAATGGTGCCACCTATTAACTTCTACAGGACAATAATCAAAGACCAAGTCATCATAACAAGAATAAAAAGTAGTTTAAATTTAATAATTTTTGTTGTTTCGAGTTGCCAGCACACACACGCATCTGGTGCTTTCCTTGCTTGCTGTCGTACCTGAAAGGTTAAAATCCAACCCCGATTATCAGTGTTCAATGAATAGCGAAATACATCATTTGTAGTTGAAATTTACCTTCTTTCTTTGATTTTTCTAACTGTGGATGAACGTTTGGAGAATCCCACAGTCAGTAAATCTTTCCAGATTAGGTGAATTTCACAAACAAGGCGGTTAGTACCTACCTTGCGCTTATGATCTTTAATTCAATCCCTGCAAATTCGGCGAAGTGAGGCGAGATGTTGGACGTGAATATCCAAAAGACAATAAATAAGCTTACCTCGAAAAGAAAAACTGCAGAGGCTCGTATTAATTGGAAAAGAAGTGATAACACGGCTCTGCCATTTCTGCGTGAAACCCTGGAGTGGAATACGTGTTTTGGACCTCGGAATTCAAAATTGTCTACCAAAATTCTATGTTGTCTACCATCGGCACATTCAACATGATAAAAGGAGTAATCGATATCACACTTGAGGAAAAATATCTAGAACTACATCAAAAATCTGTGAATTCAAAACAAAATAGATGCTTGTTTACTTACCTTAAAAACTGACCAAAATCTCGCCTGCATCGCGTTGTTTAAAAGACGAAATAAGCCTCAAAATGTGCTGAATATTTCTCGAGGCACTTCCAATATGGCCTCCGATACGCAACACTCTTAAAAAAATTGTGTATGCCTCATCGAAGTATGCCTAAGAGCCTCGAAACAGTGACCTCTGGTCTTATCCTCCATTTTCCTAGAGAACTATAGCTCTAAGACGTCACAACTGTCCCTAAATTTAGGGATATTCCGGACTGCTATATGCAATAATTCTAAAGCACTGATCGACACATAGCGATGCTGTCATTATACGATAATCTATGAACAATTCTTATATCAACTGAGAGATTTTGAAATAGCTATAACCAGGATTTTTTTACAGAATTAATGAATAACACTGCCCAGCACGTTGGTTTTGGCTCGATACCCTGAAACGCAGGTCATACATATGTGTAACCAATTAGGAGAAAAAGAAAATTTCACAGGATTTTACATGTATATAACAATGGGCGCACAGTTAAAAACCTAGTTATAGTCTTAAGCTACCTGGTACTCCCATTTCTTTATGGGCTTTATTAGCTCTTGACTTTCCCCGAATATACTTACTGCGCTTTTCACAAACATGCGAAGTATAAAGTTCAAAAGCCGCCTTCACAATTGCGTTTTTCGCTGCCGTCAATCATAATTACGATCACAAGCAACAAACCTTGAAACACAGAAACACACAAAACGGATCGAAATCCACCAATCACCAATCACAAACCATGATGACCTTTTGAACCCGTTAAAGTAAAGTTTTGTTTCCAAAGAGGTCCGTTAAGATGATTGACGGCAGCGAAAAACGCAATCGTCAGTTGGCTTTTGAACTTCATAATTCGCATGTTTGTGAAAAGCGCAGTAAGCTATAAGAAAGTTCCTATGCATGGGGAGAAACGTCACCAACCACACTCTCAAGCCGTTCCCGGACGCACAGAAAGCATGCGCAGTAAGAGGTATAGTCGTCAATATCTGTTTATAAGAAAAACGTCTAGTGGCTCCCGGGGAATTCTAGAGTGACATCATCGCCAATGAGAACAAACGGTGCCCAGTACTTCACGTCGCTGAACTTGTCCGATTCTCTCATGAACTTCATGGCTTGATTCAGAGATTTACTTGCACTCTCTCCTTCCGCTAAATGCTGATAGAAATATTTCATGAACTCCAGTGTGGCCTTGTCGTCAATGGCCCAAAGTGACACCAGAACGGAACGAGCACCAGCTCCAAGAAAAGCTCTTGCAATGCCGACCACACCCTCTGCCTTGATCTCCCCACGGCCACTGTGACAACAACTTAGAACAACTAGTCTTGCTCGAAGCCTGACATTCAACACATCGCTCATTGTTAGAAGAAAGTCTTCATCACTGGGCTTTTCAGATGATCGTGTAGGATTTGGTGACAGCGCAATCTCTCCTGTTTCCATTCGACCATGAGCGGCGATATGAACTAGTGCAACATTAGAGAGCTGTTTAAGCACCTCATCCTTTGTCGCCTCTTTGCCAGTGAGGGGAGTAGTATGAAGAATCTCAGCAATCAACTCCACTTCCCTCCTTGCACACGGGAGTTGCTTTAGTTTAACTTCTTCTACCCAAGGATCTCCTACGAGCAGAGCACCGTTCTTTGCGTGGTAATCTGCTGGACAATCCAAGATTAGTTTCAAACTGAGCAGAGAGGGAATAAAACGAATTCGAAATGATTCACTGAGGTATCTCGAATTCTGGTCCATGAACACAGCATAGGGGGCCAACCATAGGGGACCTTCAGGCACTAGGATTAGCTCATCGCCATGAATTAAATCAACTATCGGACTTATAGTCAACTCATACAATGTTCTGAAAGGATTATCCTGATTGGGCAATGCAGCTGGACGCCTCTGAACACACCCTTCACTGTCCTCTTCATTGTTTCGTAACCTGTCCAGTGACCGATCCTCGCACCTTTTACTGTCTTCCTCTTTTACCATCTCTCGAATCGTCTCGCAAGTAACTTCTAATATCAAATGTACATCGTGTTCAATCGATAGTTTCCGTAGACAAACATTCTCTTTTTGCAACACCCAATGGCAACTAAGGCCCACGTGTACTGCTGTAAAAACTATATTTGATAAGATGCAGCTCAGTGTGTCATCGATTGACATTTCCTGCGTCGGACGTCCATGATCAGCCACTTCAAAGCCGTATCTCGATTTCATAAGATCTTTTAAGGCTTGTGCACGTCCTTGCTCAGCAGCGAGCAAACCATCCCTAATCTTGTCTTGCTTTATGAGAACTGTCCACAAAGCTGTATAAACGTTTTTATAAACGTCTTGTAGGTCAATTTTCCACCCATCGTTTGACTGGAAACTCTTCCTCAAATCATTGAAAATGCTTAAGCTGGACTCGTAGCAATGAAGAGCTTCACAGAGAGAACCCATTGACTCAAAGTCAGTTCCGAGATTATAATTAGCGATTGCTTGTCCTATTTTATCGCCTACCTCAATGGAAATTTTTCTCTGACATTCATGATAGTGTGAAGCTTTATCAAAAACATTGAGTCTTTGGTAAGTGGTGCCAATGTTGCCATACGCATGTCCCTCGCTAGCTTTATCTTCTACCTCCTTAGCGACTTCAAGACAAAGTTTGTGATATTCAAGGGCTTTTGCTAAGTCTCCAAGATCAGCATAAACGAGTCCAAGATTGCCATAGGCCTGTCCTTCCCCAGGCCTGTCTCCCACTTTTTTGCATATTTCAAGATTCCTGTCGTGATTTTCTTCTGCTTCTTGGAATTTTTTCATAAGGCGATAGACAATCCCGAGATTCGCGTACACCCCTCCCTCTACAGCCTTTGCTTTGGTTTTTTTAGCGGCTGTTAAACTCAGTTCGTAGTAGTATTTAACTTGTTTCAGATTTCCAAGACTTCTGTGATCGTTTCCAAGATTGCCACATACACGTGCCTCTTCGTCTTTGTCTCCGAGTTCTTTGACAAGTTCTAGCTGGCGCTCATGATTTTCAATTGCTTCCTTCAAGAATCCGAGCTTGTAGTTATCAGTACCAATACTACCATATGCGACTTGTTCGCCTTTCCTGTCCCCTGACTCTTTTACACTGTTTAAGAGTTGAGTGTGGTAGACCAAGGCTTGCTTGAAGTTACCTAGGTGAAGACATGTATTTCCAAGATTACAATACGAACTTTCTTCTTTTTTTTGTCAGCGAGTTCTTTAGCTATTTCTAACTGCAGTTGAAAGAACTCCATAGCCTTATGGAAATGTCCGAGATTGTCATGTGCCAGGCCAAGACCTGTAAGAGCAGAAGCTTCGTGAGATTTGTCTCCAATCTCTTTGGCAATTTCCAGACACAACTCAAAGTCTTTTATTGCTGCCTCGAAATTACCACGTCTCAAGTGCACAAAACCCATATTTTTCGATGCTCGTCCTTCTCCGGATCGGTCTCCATTTTCTTTTGCAACTTTGAGGTGCTGTTTGTAACATTTCGTACTTTCCGTAGTATCACCTCGATCGAAGTAAACGTCTCCAATATCACTGTATGCGTTACCTAGTCTTATCTTATCTCCTAATTGAGTCATTATTTTTAGACAACGTTGCTGGTAGTTTAGAGCTCTTTCGAAATTAAACGTTTTACGGCAAGCATTGCCAAGAATTGAACACACGACCCCTTCCTCAGATCCTTCTGCTGACCCTAGATTATCCAGATAGAGTTCACAAAATTCTATGGCTTTTTCATATTCCTTGCTATTGTAATAAGCGGTTGCAAGTTGGGAATACGCGATGCGTTCTGAAGCCAAGTATCCTCGTCCTCTAGTAACTTTCAGACGCAGTTCTTGAAAATGGATGGCATTTTCATACTCCCCAGTTTTAGAATAAGTTTCACTAAGAATGCTGTAAATAATGCTGTCAAAGATTCCTCTCCTACCAACGTCCCCAACTTCCTCCAAAACTTGCAAACAAACATGGTAGTTATCTATGGCCCTCTTGAAATTGTTCAGGTTAAAGTAAGCATCTCCAATACACGAATAAACGTGAACCTTAAGATCCATGTTGTCTTCCTCTGTCATACAATTCAGACAAAGTTTATAGTATTCTATAGCTTTGTCGTAATCCTTCATGCTAAAGTAGCAGATGCCAAGATTTGAATACGTCGCTCCTTCCAGAATTTTTTTTCCTAGGTCTTCAGCAATTTTAAGAGACGATTGATACAAATCTATGGCCTCCTTGAAAAGTCCAGATTTATACTTAGCCATTGCTTTGTCGTTAAAAGCTAAATATAGTTCCTCGTACTCTATAAACGACACGGAATCTACAGAAAGAGGAATATAACATAAAATATTTAAAGATAACTAAGTGATGATTTAGCAAGGTAAAACACATAATGTCGTCAACAAAAAGCTAAAAGGGATGTGGGACTGGTTGTTGCTCACAATGAGGAGAAAACCTGGAATGTTGTTTAGTTTTCTGGTTTCGACGTGTACTTTATTAATTAAAGGAGCTAGGTTACTGACGGTAGTTTCAATGCTTTGCCTTAACTTAAAACTACAAGCTGGTGAAAAACGCTTTTGCATTTCTCTTGTGTTCTTGCACAAAAATTTACGTACCTAGCCTCTTTTTTCATTTTCATTTCATTTATATATTTTTCTCTTAGAGATTTCAGCTGTCCTAAGAGGTGAAGAGCCAGAGAGACGTCCGAGGACCAGCTAAATGCATATCTTCTTCAGGTTTTCTTTACCCATGATGATAATTACTTGGCTTTAATAAATTAACCTTTAAGATTATATACCTTCTTTAAATGATTCCACTAACTGGGGCTGCAGCTCATCGGCAACTCTTGCATCTTCGAGTGAGTCCGTAACAAAACCTGACAATCGACAACACAAAAGTAAGAACAAAGGAGTCAATAAAAATTGAAAGAGCCTGGCTTAACTAATATGTGTCAACTACAGCACGATTCGTTTTGTACAGGTCTTAATAGAGACATAACGTTACAGCTTTTCTACCTACAGGAACGGGTAGACAAACATGTTTGCCACGTAATTATAAGTGGTTATGCCTTCATCGTTCTACTCGGTAGCCTAGCCGTATTTCCAGGTAAGACGCGGTCTACCCGTATTTTCGGCTATGGGCCCGTACACGGAAACAGTGTCCCTGCTCACAACGAGGCTACAAAGTGTCAAACTCAGCCAACAACATCCAACAAGGTGTTTTAATGGTTCTAACACGCTACATGGAACGTCCAAGGATACTGGACCATCATGATGGATCCAATAATGTCGAAGAAAAAATTGTACTAGCATGTTGCATCTAAAAATGTTGAAAAACAGTGTACCAGCCTTATAGCTAATTAGTTGGGAAAATGACTGTGAAGATTGCCACTTTGGTCATTTTGAGGTTGTGCGTGAGACTTGGTCGGTGTTATGTCAAAGAAACTGGATTAAAATTCATCCCCCAAAACAGCCCCACAGTTCAATCCAACGCAACAACGACCCAGTCTTATACGCTACTTTACAACGGCCAGTAAGGGTTGACCGCTTGCGACCGGTTCTTTGCTTACGCGACGCAAATAATTAACTTGCGTTTGCAGGGTTCGATTCCTATTACGGACCACGAACAGTTTTTCGGAGTGACACTTTAAGAGCATCGCTCCTTCTACAAATGGGTCAGCTTTGATATAAGCATTTTGTATTCCATGAAGTGAGGTGGAAATAAAACGAGAGGGCGCATCCCAATCATAGCAGTTCGTTTATTAGCTGCTGCCCAGTTCATGTACAGCTTTGCATTGAGATCGTCATCCTTGCATTTCACTTTAATTCCTTCCGTGTAGAAGTATACGGCGTTGTAGAATCTTCTTTTCTAATATTCTTTATTTCCTTTGACATTGTGCGCCTCTACTTTAGCTGAGATGTAATCATTGTTCTTAATTAAGTTCAATTGTTTGATTGACCAAACCATAATACTGACCCTAGATTAACACAGTAAAGATATCTTGTAAGTATTTTTTCTAAAAAATTTTTTACCCTACCGTTACACCTAATTGCAATAATGTTGTCATATAAAATGAAAAAAAAAAAAGAAAGAAAAATCCTCTATTAAGCGCCCCCCTCTCAAATAAGCCCCCTCTCTCTAATAAGCCACCCCTTTTCAAGGGAAGAAAGCTAATAAGCCCCTCTCTCTTTTAACTCCCCCCACCCCCCTTCCCTCCCCTAACTATAATTCTTCACTAATGAATGAAAAACTGTATTAATCAATCACGACTGTAAAACTTTGTGTGGACTGATCCGGGATGGTTTATCCACCAGCTGGAAGATGGGATTTGCTTTTGATCCTCGGCTGCATGACTTCCAACTTCTTGTACTTGAGCTTTTCCAGTTGGTATTCTAGTTCTTTATGGAGAACTGATACCACTGTCTTATTGTCTTCTAAATTGAATAAGCCCCCCCCCTCTCAAATAAGCTCCCCGTCTCTATTAAGCCCCCCTCCCAAATGGGTTTGAAATAAATAAGCCCCTCGGGGGGCATAATGGAGGGTTTTAGGTAGAAATGAATCAGGCACCCCACCATCTTCAAGGATAGGGCCAGACGAAGAAATGGAACTCAAAACGTCTCTTATACGATGGTCAATTTACATTCTCTCAACACGACTGAAGTCGAATTTAAGGCTACGTCTTCACCATACCGAATAGCTTTTCGTGTCGATATGAAATACTATACGGTATTGTATGAACAGCAACGGCACAGAACTAGAACAAGTTGTTCACACCCTTCGAACAACGTGCCACAGCGGTTACCTGAGAGGGTTTGGTGAACTAAATCCCAGTCCTCACTCCTGAATATTTACTTTCGCTTCAGTGGATTCCAGCCCTTGCTCCTATCGATTCACTTCCGCTACGGTCCGAGTACATGTTCACACTGTGCCAAAGTATGGCACAGAACCTCTCCGATATGTGACGCTCAAGTTTCGAGGGCGGCTCAGCGCAGCTTCGCTCTGTTACAAAACTCCCGCCGAAATCACCGTTCCTATGTATGAACAGAAGCCCTATCCAGTATGGTTTTTGTGACGGCGCAAAAGCAATCTGGTATAGTGCAAACATAGCCTAAGTAACGGGAACAGGGCATTCTGGAATCTCATCTGCCAAATACGCTCGCACTTATGCGGAAGATAGGCAACTTCATGTATCGTTTAATCCCGCTGATAACACTAGTGAGGCTGTGGCTGTAACTGCGATCGGAAATAGTGAATGGATAAGGAATGATAATTAACAATTGATGAATGAGGCAATTGATGAGGCAATTTAACAATTGATGAATGAGGCTGAGTATCTTATGAAGAATTATGGAGATCGAGGAGGGTGTTATCCGCCTCGGCCTACGGCCTCGACAGATAACACCCTCCGAGATCTCCATAATTCTTCATATGATACGAAAGTCGAATTCAATAATTGTTTTATTATTCATTCAAAATAATTCCTAGTTTAAAAACATAGCTAAAACATGCTTACCTCCATCGATGTTAAGTTCACCTTCGATAGTGCACTTTTAGGTTTGTCCAGCTCCGCAAATATTCTCCAAATAGCAGATGTCACCCTTCGATTTGTCTTCTTGTGAGTCTTGCCATGTTTTTAGCAATTATTTCGCCTAGTTCTTACTCTTGAAACGAGTGAAAAGTCCGCCATTTTACTTTTCACATCGGTTAACGGTGCATTAACCTGTAAGAAGGCTGCACTTTTGACGTCATCAGTTCATTAAACGCAAAACTCTTCCAAATTTGGTCATCAGTAGCTGGTTATAGTGAATTTTTGCGTGTGCTTTTAGTCAATCAGAATCGGGGAAATATTTTGAATGAATAATAAATTGAGGTTAAATGACTATAAAACGGAGTTCTTAATCATTGGCACGGAAAAACAGTTATCGAAGGTGTCTGTTGACGAGATCAAGGTTGGCCAAACTGAGGTGGCTTCTGTCTCTTCAGTGCGAGACTTGGGCATGCACCTGGTTCGATTCTCATCCGGACATGTCCGTTCAAGTGACTGAGGCTTGCGGTAGGGCCTTTTTTCACCTGTACAATATCCGGCATATTAGGAAGTATTTGTCCCATAAATCTACCGAAAGGCTTATCCATGTGTTCATTACTACTAGGTTGGACTATTGTAATAGCTTATTGTATGGTGTTCCGGAGTATCAAATTAGGAAACTTCAAAGGGTCATGAATGCAAGCGCACGGTTAGTTTACTGCGCACCTAAGTATTGCCACATTAACTCTCTACTTAGGGAACTTCACTGGTTACCAGTAAAGTTGCTTATAGATTTTAAGATTCTTCTTATTAGATTTAAGATACTTCAGGGTTTAGCTCCGAGCTATCTTAGGATTTTAATTTCAATCTTGCCTGCTTCACATTATCAATTGCGTCGAATTAATAATGGAATATTGCTAGAAAGTCAGCTGTTCAGAAAGAAAA